CGCCGCCGCCGCCGCTGCCGCTGCCGCTGCCGCCCACAGAACCAGATGCGCACGGATTGAAATATACCTTGACCCAAATGCCCACGGCCCACTTGCGCACGAATCTCCTAACATCCACGGACCCAATTGCCCACGGCCTACTTGTGCACAGGCTGAAATTTTAGTCGACCCAGGTGCCCACGGCCCACTTGCGCACAGATTGAAATCGGGTGATGCCCAGTTGCGTACAAACCCAAATGAACACAAAAGCGAATTTCTGCCTCCTGAACGATATTCCATCAGTAATTAAGGATATTGTAAGTTATCGTTATCTGACGGAACCTTTTAAAACATTTACTGCTGTCTTCAGTTGATATATTTTCAGTCGATTGACGTTATACTTATCCACTAACCTACCCAGTCTTCGAGGTTTAAACATTCCACCGTAACCCAACCTAACCTAATTTACTTTAATGGTCCATGCTATATTGATATACGACGATACGGTATCCGCTAGTGGGGCATCTGTGCGTAAGTGGGCCGTGGACATCTGGCTCGACGACGATTTCAATCTGTGTGCAAGTGGGCCGTGGGCATCTGGGTCAATGAAGATTTCATTGCGTGCGCAAGTGGTCCGTGGGTAACTTGGTCCGTGGGCAAGTGGGCGGTGGGTAAGTGGTCGGTGCGCATCTTGGTCCCTCCCTTCTATGTCATTGTGAGAGCAGCCTTAGATCAAATAAAAATTTGGTGTGAGCGATTGCTTCATGTACAAAATGCATTTGATTGTGTTGTGTATTTGTAAATTATCAACACTATCCAGAGTACCCAGAGTACACATAGCTAAAAAAGGAAAAGCAGCCAGCGCCATCCATCATGTGAAAAAGTAATTGGACGTGCCAAAGCGTCGTTAGCTGTGTTCTTTCTTGAACACTTTGGACTTCCACGTGCGACATCTATGGGACTATGGCGAAGGACACACATACGTACACGTGTACACACGCGCTCCATATGAATGGCTGTTATACTTTTCGTGCGAGCTAAAAACTTAATAATTATATACTATAGTGAAAGCAGCCTTACATTAAAAAAATTATAGAGCAATGAAAACTGTTGGTGTCACAGACCTTATGTCATGGCCTAAGGCACTAAAAATAGCTATGACAGACTAGGGTTAAATGTTTTGTTACGTCCGCGTGGAAAATCAGATCCTACGTACGTGTCCTATGTCTAGCCATTAGGACTAAACAGTGGGGTCTGGTTTTTATCACATAGCGACCCTAGGATATGGTTATCTAACATATGGGTTCTAGGTCTACGGACGTGGGCTATGTCTAGCCATTGGAAGACTAAACAGTGGGGTCTGGTTTTTATCACATAGCGACCCTAGGATATGGTTATCTAACATATGGGTTCTAGGTCTACGGACAATGAATCGAGCCTAACGGGAAATGTTTATAGAAAACGTATTTAGTCTATGGTTTGACCGTTATTAACGTTATTTATGCAGAGCATATGCGGACGCTCCCAACTTTATGACTCCATGACCCTTCCTGGAAAACCCCACTAAAAACTCCTTATTCATTTACAAAGAAGTCATCCTCATCCAATCCTGATCCAGAAATTCTTTTACCCTTATGCAGAGTACCCCCGCCAAAATTCCCAGCACCAATGAATTAATTTCTTTAACCACTCCATGCTCTTTTTCTTAAAAATTTCTCTAGCTGAACCAATAGTAATAATCCCTAACCCTACTCCAACAATCCACCCCGGCTAACCAACATCCCTAATTTTTTCCAAGTCTCACTCTCATTCTCCGCTGGTCCGTCAGACAGTTTAGAAAAAACAGTTTTACGCTCTTCTGTTCACTAAATACAATTATCAGTTCACTCCAATTTATCAGTTGAAATTGCTTTCGCTTATACTTTAACTAATATTTTTCGTAGAGTTTGTTGTCAGTGCATCAAGTTTATAATAAACCATACTCATTTATTCACATAATTTTGCTCTTATACATATAATTTCTGCCTGAACCAACTTTTTTCTACACCGCAGACATCTTCAGTAACCGCTGCAGAATCAAGGTAAGCACAATCAATTATTATTGGTGATGGTACTCTTTAATTTTTGCTGAATTATCATAAATGTTAGACTTCCTAGGTTCAATTGTTTAGTTGGTGATGGTTTTCATTTGTTTAGACACTTTCAAATCAATCCTAGCAAATATCCAGTTCAATTTATCCTTCCCTTGGTAATTAGAAGCATAGCCCAATCCCGAGTAAAGTGCGCAAGCATTGACTCAAAACAGGGCAAAGTTATAGTATATTACGATTCGGTAAAGGCACCAGTCTAAGCCTCCATTCTGGTTCGGACGTAACATACGTAAATTTTTGGGGGCTCAGTCAGGATCTCAATTGCTAATGATTACCAGGGAGGTATGAATATAAGATCAAAGTCAAAGAAAGAGCAAGTAGTATAAGTTGAGGGGTTCTGGATATAGATTCCTGCACCGACATAATCAATCCTCGAACTTGAATTTGAAATATCTCTCGATGCTATTGAAAAAAGTAAACTTTTAATTGGAATATTTTGTTAACAACTATGATTTTAAATATGGTCTGAAAGTTATCCTAAGTGTCAAATTATAACGTTACACAAAAAAATGCGCTCCTATTAAACGTTACCGAAATAAACTAATTTTTGGTAATAGAATGTTGTCTTCCACATTTTAATTTATTTATTTCGTAATTCTTAATGATAGCAATAAGAACGATACTTAAAAAATTGTCTTCTTGCACTTTATGTTTCATCCATTGTTTGTTAAGAGATCAGCTTCAAAAATATTATCACCATTGGAAACAATATTAAAATGTGCATCGACAATCTCAGAATTTGGTAGATTTCCAGCTGAAACAATATTTAAATTCGCGTAAAATATTATACATATAGCACATACAAGGTTTCTCAGAATAACTTTTCATCTGGTAAATGGGCAATAGCTGCAAGTTCCCTCTTTTCGGGAGGGTACTCGGCGGACTTCCAGCTATCGCCCACTTTCCGGATGAAAAACAGTTCTAGGACACCCTGTAGTAAAACCATATATTTATTTTTATAGAAAATAAGACATATGCCATTAGTAGTTAAACTATATGATATGATGAGTTCTGTATCTGCTAACTTACTGCAATACGGTGAACCGTAATGTGTATTAACGATAAATGTTCCTCTCGCTGCATAATTTTCCGCTTGTTGACCAATTACCATACATGATTCTAGATTACAATTTTCGGACGAATTGCTATATCCGCTAAAAAAATAAAATTAGATTTCCTTGGCTATTTATGATAAAAACTATTCTGACAAGTATATATCCGATAAAAACTTTGTCAAATTGTTATAATAGATATAATGATACAGGTGCGGATTAAATAAATATTTACGTACGATCTTTTAGACCATTTTTGTCCTATAAATGAGCAATTAGGATTTTTCAGGGCTTCGATGTAGTAATCTACGGCTCGATCATGCGAGCAACCTGGTTCTACAAAAAAAGATATTTATAATGAAGCGAAGAGAATGGAACCTAAAAACTATTGTGAATATATTATATTTTATGCATTTGTGATACCTACTCTTTAATAAACAACTTGGTTGAAACTCCCCTCCATTTACGAAAATATCCACGTGACCGACTGGCTCCTGAAGTCCAAAAATGTGTGAAGTGTGAATAATATCCACAAATGTAGCATCACTCCTATCAAGCCTTTCAGTCCAGTTTAATTTACGAAAAAGAGGACCAGCAGGATCTAATCCTAAATTTTTCCATTTGAACAACACAGTTAACACCTTAATCATAGGCATTTTTACTTTAGGTGAAAAATTAAAATTTTACCTGTAATTCGCCCGAGAGTTCCAATTTGATTTATTTGTAAATGCTTTCCAACAAAGCCGCACACATGAGCACCTAGACTGTGCCCTAACATCCAAATATTTGTCAAACTTACATGATAATTTTTTACCAATATTTTGATACACCTAAAAATAATATATTATGAAATGTTTTCCTACATATTCTAAATAAAAAATGTATTATTTTACTTGGTTTACCTGGCTACGTATTCTCCGACTTGTTTGGTATTGACTGTAGCGAAACGGTATGATTGAACATTCAAAAAGTCGATTTTCTCTGAACATGCACCAACTTGCCAATCCACGGAGAAGACATTTAATGGTTCCTGAAATTTTTAAGAAAAGAAATTAAAACTAAAAATGAAAAATGCAGAAATAAAAGGACGTAGAAATTCAATGTTTTCTGGAAGAGATGATACAAACATGTTTTAGTAGAGCTTTAACCGTATCATTTATCCAGTTTTTGGTACCATCTGATAAGAATCCATGAATAATAAAAATGGTTTTCAAGGAACAGTTGATTGGTAATTCCATGGTGGTTAAGTTGACTTCAATTCCACTGATACCTCTATAGCAATAATTGAAAACTGATAAATTTAAAAATTCCTACGCGAGGTTAAGGGGCGCCTGGTTTGCGAACTTGAAAAAAAATCAATGTTTCTTTTCTTGTATTTTCTTTAGTTGTATGTGTCGAGAATGTTTTTCTAATAGGTTTTTCCGATATTCGCTAAATTCAAATAGTTAGTTGCATTGTCATGATGAAGATATTATTATTGATGTCAGACATGGATATCGATTAATTCATTTTATTTCAGTGTTTGTTGCAATAAAGTCATCTTTTCATATGTAAATCGTGTAGAATAAAGTATAACTCTTTATAGATCGATATTTCTGAGCTTAGGTTTTAATATTAGCCTCAAGTAAAGACTACTTTTTTATAAACCCGAAAACTCATTCTAAATGTTTCAACTCAATTTTCTCAAAACAACATCGTTTGATCGCGTAAACGTGCTTCCTCAGAAATTAACTATCCAATTGGCCTAACATTTTAATCGCACATAAAATTATGACCCTTTATTATCCAAACCAAAAACAGTAATAATTTGTGATATATTTTTATAATGGCAATAAATGCGATAATTTTCAGGTGAATATTCATCACCTTTCTTTTTAAATTCACCATTTTCATATTTTTTAATATTATTATTTCGTAGCAACACTTATTTAAAATAAAACCATGTAAAATTTTTTTAAAAAGTCTAGAAGAGCAGAAACCGCGTCAACCAAATTAAAAGAGGTTTGTACCGAATTGTCTTCAACGGACTGTATGTATAATATCATTATATATATATATACTCCAAAAAAATAGATACTCCGTAAATAATTATAAAGATATTTGTGAAATGTCAAGTCGATGTATTGTTTGGTTTTCTCTAAAAAAAAATTTCCCAAAAATACTTATTGTTCACTGCTGTAAACCAGATGCCCCCCTTGATATTGAAATTTTATTTTACCTTGAAAAAAAAAGGAGTCTCGTTTTATTGGCACCAAGAGTGCAATCGGAAAGAAAAAATAACAGGTTTCTTCTTACATATTCAGCAACGCCTTGTAAAGTGGAGCCTGTACAAAATATATAAATGAGAATTGGAAGATTACGTATTATATGACTATTATTAAATCAAAATTACCGAAAACTTTGCTATCGTATAAATTAATGATATAGAAACTAAATAAAACAATATAGACGATCTTCATTCTCGTATGAACTTATAAGTGAATCCGTTATTGCAATATACAAAGATTGAGTAGCTAACTCAGACTGTCAAGAAACAGATTACAAAGTTCCATGTTATATCATACTCATGATGACGTTGAATTATTAATCATCTATTTTTTTAACTAATCAAGAGAATGTAAGATAACCAAAACAGTTGGTACAGTCTCACACCAAGTACACATAGCGTAACAGAAATTAACCGAGTACACTAGACTCTCCATAACATCTCGGTCTAAGGGCTGCAGGAGAGGAAAATTTTGTGAATAAAGAAAGTTAAGGATGCTCCCACCCTAAATATTCTCTGCCTCTTCCTATCCCATACGTCTAGCGTTACATATGTGCACACATTTATGCATAGACATATACGTGAGTGCGTAGCGCTGGACGATCCAGTCGTGCAGCCGACGGAATGAAGAGGACACGGTAGTAGTGTTAGTAAGTGCACGTGTAGAGAGCAATGATTGTAAGCGGAAAGTAAGCGAACGACAAGTTATCGAAAGTCTACTGTATCTTATTTCCCTACTGCGTAAAGTGATAACTTATTATCACCTATAGATGGAGGAAAATTACGCGCAGATTCTTTTTATTATTAATATGTGCAGATTATAAACTTTTTTATAATTATTTTTTTGTAATTCTTTTTTATTTATACGTTTTATCTTAATAGTGAAGTCTAAAGTATTAAGCCTTGCAGTCTTCTTAGTAGAGTCTATATACGAGCATCCCAGCTCTACACGGGCGAACTCCACATGGCCCAGTAACAATTTTTACGAGGATTAAAATAGTGTACATATGAGACTGATTGTGTTAATTACTACAGCTTTCACGATATGTAGTGTTAAAGTCAGAAATTAATAATACGAATTTTTTAATGGTACTCCGGGTTTCAAAGCACCAGTTAGTCCGACAGTTGTTCTTGAAATTATCTTCGTCTCGTAAAACAATGGTGCAATAATTAGTATGTGCGCATGTTTAGTTTAGAAACCTTGGCAAACAAGCCGCAAGTTGAAACTTGCAATTAGCTTCCTCCGAATCGTAGTGTACGAAGTCCCTGTATGAAAAAGCATTTTCATTTTCTTTTAATCTTTGGCTTCTTCATAAATGAATCTTCATTTACTATCGAACCGCAAAATTTCGAAATGCTGCACAATTAGATCCGCTTGGCCGATCTTCGCCAAATTTCATATGTATTACGGCTAGATGATATTTCATACTTGCAGAGAATTGCGGTTTGATTCGTTGAAGTAAGCGTTAGTTACAGCAATAAATTTGATTTTTCGAAAAATCCAAAATATAAAATCAAAACTTCTCGATGGATTCGGCCCAAATGCAATACCAACCAACCTTGGATACAAATCTCTTTGTCAAGAACTATTTAGACGAGTATCACAAAATTTGTGATCGCTAGAGTGATAACGTCTTTTTTGGGGGAATTTGAAAACGACATAAAATCCGAGCCGCAGCTAGAATCATGACGAAAATTATATTTAATGAAGAGATTATAGAGCTGCATATGCCTGCAAAATTTGGGGGCTGCAGCTAAAACCGTTCTCGAGTTATACACGTTTGAATTTTGGGAGACCATTCACACACACACGCACACGCACACGCACACGCACACGCACACGCACGCGCGCGCACACACACACACACACACACACACACACACACACACACAAGACGAGTATCACAAAATTTGTGATCGCTAGAGTGATAACGTCTTTTTTGGGGGAATTTGAAAACGACATAAAATCCGAGCCGCAGCTAGAATCATGACGAAAATTATATTTAATGAAGAGATTATAGAGCTGCATATGCCTGCAAAATTTGGGGGCTGCAGCTAAAACCGTTCTCGAGTTATACACGTTTGAATTTTGGGAGACCATTCACACACACACGCACACGCACACGCACACGCACACGCACACGCACGCGCGCGCACACACACACACACACACACACACACACACACACACACACACACACACACACACACACACACACACACACACACACACACACACACACACACACACACACACACACACACACACACACACACACACACACACACACACACACACACACACACACACACACACACACACACACACACACACACACACACACACACACACACACACACACACACACACACACACACACACACACACACACACACACACACACACACACACACACACACACACACACACACACACACACACACACACACACACACACACACACACACACACACACACACACACACACACACACACACACACACACACACACACACACACACACACACACACACACACACACACACACACACACACACACACACACACACACACACACACACACACACACACACACACACACACACACACACACACACACACACACACACACACACACACACACACACACACACACACACACACACACACACACACACACACACACACACACACACACACACACACACACACACACACACACACACACACACACACACACACACACACACACACACACACACACACACACACACACACACACACACACACACACACACACACACACACACACACACACACACACACACACACACACACACACACACACACACACACACACACACACACACACACACACACACGCACGCACGCACGCACACACACACACGCGCGCGCGCGCACACACGCACACACACACACACACACACATCCAGACATTTTCTCTAAATGTGTTTTCTCGACGTTTTGGCACATTCTGAATATGGTGACATGAAAATCTCGAAAGAAAAATTTTCCACCGTTACATAGCTTCCTCTATGAGGAAGCAAATGGAGCAATTTCTAATTAGTATTCTACATTACTACCTACCCCGATGGTATTTTAGTTAAAAAGAATCATCGGCAAGCAAGCAAAGCGAGTGAAATCCAATACAATATTATAATGCTGTGAAGGGCCACGCCACTACTAATTATTTGTTTAGAATCAGGTGACCTCCAGTGTAAATTGCAATCTAAAAAATTCAATGTTATGATAATTAAAGCAATTAGCGCAATGAGCCTTATTCACTATTTTGCTCCTTGTAAGAAATACAACCATCGACATTTGTTAAATCAAGGGTCCGGAGAAATCCCAATTTCCCCTTATTCCGCATAGAGTTTTGCGTACATAGACGACCGCGTAAAAATAACCGTGTAGAATTTTCTTTGTAGAGTTATTATTTTGCTATTAACCCTTTGCACTGATAGGCGTCACTGCGGCGACATACATATTTAATACCACTCCATAGGTGCCGCAACAGCGACAGTTCTAATATTAACCATAATTAATCGTTATCTCACTGGCAGGAGGTGCAGTTCACTTGAGTACTTGGCGGATGATGCGACAATAATTGTATGCGTGTAATTTCGTGGGTTGGAATAATATTATATCAAAAAAATATGGAAACAGAAAATTATTGTGAAGATTGTGAATTATTCGCGGCGATACTAGAATAAATTTATTCGAGCTGTTGATAGATTATATTACAAAATTAGCTGGAGTATAAAGGGTGAAGTACCGTGTAGAATTGTCCCGTTTAGAATTAACCCTGTACAGTTCTTTCGTGTAGAACTAAGTGCTTCTGAGTTTTTTGCCTTTTCTGAAAGTTTAAAGTATTTAAAATACTCTCCTAAAAAATTATACCGTAACGTCCAATTAAAGTGGCACACTTGAATTTATGTGTATTTCTGGGAAACTATGACCAATTTTGAGAAACCAATGACATATTTTTTATGAAATTTCTTTCCCGCTCAACGGAAAAAGTTTTATCTCGGTCGGATACAAAATGGCCGAACGGCAGAGGTTGAAGTGAAATAGTGCATTTTGGGATTATGTGAAAATTTCGAGAACTAGTAGTTCCGGAATTAAATTTTTTCGAGGAGAACGAGGAGGACGAGGAGGACGAGGAGGAATAGGAGAAAGAGGACGAGGAGGAGGATTAAGAGGACGAGGACGACGACGACCGAATAATAAAACTGGGAGACAATAACTGATAGCTGAAATTGTTAATAACACTAGAACGACACAAAAGGGGATTCTAAAATTCAAATAGACTAGAGGCTTAATTTGACACTACGGAACGCACAGACGGGCCCAATTTATTAATAACAAGGAAAATGAATATAATGATTATAAAGAGAGTACGATAAGGAACAACGGCAATATTTTGAAATCCGGACGCTTTCGGAAACAACACGCACCTTGTGTAATATACACGCAATTTTCTAAATACCACAATATTTACTAAACTCGCTAACAAGTGGCCTATTTCCGGTCTTGTCCACAATATGTACCATTCTACGCTTCGCAATAATAACTAATCTTGACCTCGTGTCAGGAAACCTACTATAGAGATCCCGAATATTCCCGACTGGGAATCTAGATCTTTCCAGATTTTCTACGCGCGCTTATTCTATCCCATTATGAATAATCTCGAAGCCGGAATCAGTTCCGAAAACCCAGTTGAAACCCCTCACTGAAAATAGCAGTCAGCATATCCCCTTGCTGCCTTCTCACAATCTACGAATTTATCGCCGGAAAGAAGTATCATTACGCGGCCCTTACTTCATTAAAAACACAATCGAAACGATTGCGCGTAGCGTGGACTGAACAGGAAATTTCGAATGCAATATAATTTGACATGCTTCATTAATAACAAACCAAAAACTATAGACACTCCAGATAACCACTGTATTAACGAGCATCAGATATCAACGATCGTGCAAACGAAAGGCGACATGTGCTGTCTGGATCTATTGTCTGGTCCAGCAGCTAAACTTACGATCCCGTTTATCTCGATCAAGTACAAAATTTTTATGATTCGGTAGCGTTACTCACCCTGTATTGCCCTCTCTAACTCTAGTTCTTCCTTATCTATATCACACTCTTTCTCTCACTATTTCCTTACTACAAAAACACGTGGACTACACTCCTCACGTTCGTTTAGCTACACCGCAAGTGATGCTACCAGAACGCTCGTCCCCTAACGTGCCCTAGTGGCGCA